TCTCGATCGCACAGCAGCGAGAGAACAGAAAGTCAGTTGTTAGTGTGCTCGCTAGGATATCGCATCCTATGCCTACATATCCTCGTCTGGTACAAGGAATCAGAGCAGCTGTAGTTCGACTACTATCGGGACCACAACTCAAATCTCGTTTTATTAATCTCTGAAAAATGGTTACAATGAGTGAATACTGAAAATAAATCTCCTAGGAAATACTATCCTATCCTATCCTGAAAAATCGAATGGAAAATGGTCCCCTAACAAGTGGACTTCTAAACTATGCCTAAAAAGGTGAAATATACTCCTATGAAAAAAATACACTCTAAAAAATATTAAAACTAATATTTTTTCTCCTTTTTTTCACACTATTTTTCCCATGTATTTTTTCTCTTCTTTCAAAATATTCTTCACTTCTCTTTCTATATTTCTTTTTATATCTTTCTACACTTTCTTTTTATATTCTTTTATTGAATATTTCTTTTTTCTTTTGCAATTTTCAAATATTCCTTTTTTATATTTCTTTTCTTTTGCAATTTTCTTTTTCTATTTCTTTTTCTATAGAAAAACTAAACACTATAATAATAAAGAAAGAAAAAGTAAAATACAAAAGAGGGGAGGGGGTACCCAGTTACAAAGGGGGTGATACAGAAAAAAAACAACAACCTGGGCCCAACCCACTACTCAGTCAAACAAAAAAAAACAGAGGAGGGGAATTAGGAAACAGAGGGGGTGTGAAAGCAGTCTCGTTGGGCCCAGCCCAGCACCAAACGTAAGCAGAGGCGGGGGGTGCGAAAGAAAAATTGGGGTGTGCGAATTTGGAAGTGAATCAGGCCCAAGGCCCATGTCCACTGAGTCCAACTCCCTAGTCTCCTCTTTCTGAAACCCTAGCCCTAGCTTCCTCTTCTCCGCCGCCATCCTTCCATCTTCTCGTTCACCTCCATCCTCGTTGTCGTCTCAATCCCCCTAATCCCACAACAATAACACAAACCGCTCCATTCCTTGGCCGGAGATCTTGATGGAAGGTTGCTGGTTGAGGTTTGCATGTTCTTCTCTGAGGAGCTTTGGATGAAGGGCGAGATCTTGGTGATTCTGACAACGCTCCGATGAAGATCTTCGAAGGTCTCTGAGGATCTTGAAGATGGAGACAAGTGTTTGTGATTCTCTGAAGATTGATTGTGGATTGCATGTTCTTCTCGAAGTTTTTGGAGGTTCCTTCAAAGGAGATTTGTTGAAGATCTTGCGTCTGTTTGTTGAAGAACACTCGTAGACAGATCTTGAAAGTAGCGAGTCCTTGGATGAAGATCTATGGAGCTGATACGTGTTGTAGAAGAATAGACGAGGGTTTCTGGATTTAGGTGTTGTTCTTCTGGAGGATCGCTGAAACTATTGAGAATCTGGAGATATGACGAACACCAGATGAATTGGGATGAAGATCTAGAAGTTCTTGAAGATGAATTTCTGGAGACGAAGATTAACATTCCTGCTGAAACTTGTTTCTGGAAATGATGATTGTTGAAAAGAAGTTGGTGAAGTTTCTTGAGATTCATCTTTCTGGAGATCTGACGGACGAATGTAGTAGAGAGTGGATGAACGATGAGGATGATTGGTGATGGAAGGAAATGGATGATGTTGATAGGTGGATTTCTGGGTTGCATTGGTCATGGCTGATGATGGATCGGAGAAGATGAGAGGAGATTAGGATTGATCGGAGGAGGATGAAGGAGGAAGACGGATTCTGGGTTTCTCATGGTTGTTGGTGTTCTCCGGCGAGATGCACGGTGGCCGCCGGCCATGCATGCCGGCCGGTGGGTGTTCCCGGCGAAGCGTTGTGGTGTGTACACGTGGTGAAGTGAGTGGAGGGTGTGCCTGCATGCGCGCCACGTGGTGTGGGCGTGGCAGAGAGATAGGGAGTGTGAGTGGTGAGGTGGCGTGAGAGGGAAGCGTAACGTGGGGTCAGCCTCCCGTGCACACGTGGCCTGCTCTGATTTTATAAGCTGAGATGCTTCTGGATCTTCTAGAAGTTTCTGGCAATCGCTGGAAACTGCTGGACGAAAACTGGGCTTCCCCCCCCACTTTGGCCCAAACGCAAATGAAAATAGAAACCAAAAACTGCATAATAATGGATAATGGACCTATTAAAACTAATGAATCTCAATTAAATGGATTAACAAAACTGATTAAAATGAAGTACCACAGGGAAACGTGATTAAGAATTGATTAATGGCTAGAAAAATTAAACTAATAAACCAAATAATGATTAAGCCAGTCCTAATTAAAACTAACCTAAAACTCTATTAACTCTAATTAAACTCTAATACTTCCACTAATCTAAAATCTATTAAATCTCTATAATATCCTAAAACTGATTTAAATCTCTATTAAACTCTAATTAAAAAAAACTCTAATAGTTCTCTAATCTAAAAATTCTAATAAATCTCTAATAAAACCTATATTATTCTATAAAAGAAAATCTATACTATTAAAAAGAGAAATTATTTATTTATTTAAACTCTTAAAAGAAAACCTATTATTCTATAAAACCAAAATAAAAGCTATAATATCTACTAAGAAAAGCTATTATCCTATTTATATTAAAATCTATTAAATTCTAGAAAATGCTTAAAAAAATATTTAAAGCTATTAAAACCATTAAAAAACAAACTATTAATATCCTAAAATGATTAAAATCTATTAAAATATCTATTAATAGCTAATAAAATCCAGAAAAAATCACAATAATTCCCGAAGGAACAAAAATAGCACCGAACGACAAATAACACTGCGAGAGCGCACAGAAATAGCCGGTAAAAATAAACGGACACCGAAATATCCCTAAAAACAACAGCACTAGCTGAAAACACCGGGAATAGCACGACTGCTCGAAAAAACGATTCTACCTATCTAAACTGATTAAAAACACCTGAAACGCGAGACGAGGGCTGTGATCCCGATAAAATCAGAACAAATGAAATATGCACTGTATGCGATATGCAGATGCGAATGCAGTCATGCGTCGAAACATAGAGCCAGATACGAGACCCGGTTGGTCAAATTTTGGGGTGCAACAATATCCCACACATCTTTGGTTATTTGTTTCTCAGTAATCATCTAAAAGACATTTAAATCCACACACCGATGGATCAAGAATAAACATTCCCCATCTTTCTTGCTCATTTCAGGATGAGCAGCTCTTTGCGCCTCAGTAGCATTTGGTTTTAATGCCAAGAAACTATCATTCACGATTTAAAACATATATTGAAATTTGAATATCACTTTCATCTACGAGCACCATCTATCATAGTTTTCTCCCTTGAAAACTGATAGATTGATTCAGAACCGATCATAGGTTGTAATCTCATTTCCATGTATGGATACTTTTTGATCGAACTAGTACTCTAGATACCAATTTGTTGGATAATTGGAATTACAAGTTATTTGTGAATTGAGAAAAAATAGAAAAGAATAAACAACAATTGTGTGTGTGTGTGTGTGTGTGTGTGTGTGTGAGAGAGAGAGAGAGAGAGAGAGAGAGAGAGAGAGAGAGATTATTGGAATGGAATGAGTATTTTTATAAACATGTATTACATCATTTATATATGATCATACTACTAACTAACTAACTTCTAGTAAGTAAACACATATAGAGTTAGCAGTAAGCACATGCTGAACTAGGAGTAACCAAATGTTGAACTATCAACAACTACATGTTGAAATATCTGTAACCACATGTTGAGCTATCACTAACCACATTTGAACTACCCGTAACTATATGTTGAATTATTAGTACCAACTATTACAAATAATACATTCTATGACAAATCTATCATATTATCCAACAAATAGTTGAGATGTAAATCATAGGCGCCACACATTTTAAAAAAAGATACTACCTATTTTCTCGGTTAAGCTCACAACCGAGGAGAAAAGTATTCAAGGAACAAACATTTGAATCCAAGCAACTGCAGTTTAACAATTATTTTTATATTTTTGTTTATTACTTATTTATTACCTTGGTTGAGTTGGTAACATAAGGGAAAAATATTCAGAGGACATGCCTTCAACAATTCTTCTTGTATGCAAAGTGTTGAAATGCAAATTTAACGTAATGAAAACATTACTAATGAAAGCAGTTGTATGAAGTAAAACATTATTCTCTCAAATAGATTGTAAGAGTAGAAAAATGTTCAAGGTTGATTTCTTAATATAATCTCTTATCTAATTATTTTTTGTTAAAAATATTTAATGTTAGTTAAAAAAGCATGGATCTAACTTAACAATGTTAATCGTTGTTGTATCATATAAAATATTTAATGTTGTTGTTGTTGATATCTAATGTTTAATAAATTTATTGATTTTTTTTATTGATTTGAAATTTAATGTTTAAATATTTATTGATTTTGTTTTGTTATTTAGATTTAATGTTTAATGATTTTATTTTTTATTGTTGTTGTTAGTTGTTGATGTTAATGATGTCGATGAGAAAGGTTTTAAATTTGTTAATAAATTTAATACTTTATAGATTGAAACAGAAAAAAAATATTTTAATAGAGGTAAAAATAACACATTTTTAAAAATCCAAAAAATATTGTAGACGGTGATTGAATCTAAGTTCAGTTCCACTCTGGTTCAATAAAGAAAAAGTATAGAACATTCTTTTTAATTTCACCCACACAACTAAGAAAAAAAATCACTTTTCCGTCGAAATAAATACACTTATTGTAGTAGTAAATCAGAGACCGAATTAACAATAACGTGATTTAATTGCAGAGTAGATTAGAGATGTAAATACAAAAGAAGTAAATACAATACACAAGAATTGAAAGCATCACAAACAAGATTATTATTATTTTAAATTAACACTCGATAATTCAATAGGTATTGAAAACATGTACGGATTTTATTTTCCATGTTATTTATTTATTGTTAATGCATGGTATAATGTTTTGGATATTTATGATAAGAGATTCTGATTCCAAAATCCATTTAAGGTAATTTTTGTTTTTTCAAGGGCACTTGGCTTTGCCACCACGAGTAGTCAAGCTGGCATAACAAGGACACTTTTCTTGGTTTCCAGCAGTGCCAGGTGGCACGCAGTTACATCTTCTACAGCATGTCCCACATGCTCTTTGACACAATCTTGGTCGAGATGATAAACGGCACCTTGCAACACATGCTCCATTACAATCTGAAATATGTAATCACGTTTTCAAATTGATCAAAATTATAATCACACACATGTATATTAAATACTCTTATATATTATGCATGAATTTGTATGTTGTGTTATGTTGTAGTTGTACCTATTTGCCCAAGAAGAGAACCCTGTGTTTGGGTATATTCCTGCAGTTCATCAAAAACATACATAAATTAGTAAAGTAGATCAAAAACATACATAAATTAGTAAAGTAGATCGTACTGATAGTTTTTATTATTAGAGTTTGGTCTAACACAACCTTACAAAACCAGTTAGTAACGCGAAGGGTGTCACCCTATATAAACCATTTCAATGCTCTATCTCCAACTAATGTGAAATTTTAGAATCTTCTTAATATCTATAAAAGATATAAAATATATACTTACATATTGATGTGCAGCATCAACAAAATGGAGAAAGAGAAGTGATGCAAGAAGGGAAGCAGCTAGAAGCTTAGAGAAAGCCATGATAGAGAGAATGGAAATTAAGTGTGAGAAAATTGAGATATAATAAGCTAGTATTTATAGGTGATAATAGCAGCTTTATGAGAAGAATATCAACAAAATTTGCTAGCTGGAGAATTGCTTTTCTTGGTGGGTGAATATGAATATGGCTGGCTTTGAAGAATATTTAATTAGTTCAGCGGCTAGTGCATAGTTGAACTTTCTATTTTTGTTATGATATGATAGCCTCACTCTCACAAAACCCCACAATTCTTGTCTAATTAAATTGTGTGAGTAATGCTTATCCAAAAATATATGTATATTGAAAATTTGTAGAATTTTATTGGTCATATCAAGAGTCAATTTTAAAAGTAATAATTAAAACATGAGTCAAAGGAAGGGTTACCTAGTTCAGTTTATTCGCATATTGCTTTGGAATACCGACGTCGGTCTCTCTAAATGGAAGGTGTGCTGGATGGTTGATGCCATGGATACATCAATTTCTTTTTCAAATAAGTTAATAGCTTAACTTATAGTATATCTTTTAAATAGAGCCGGACAAAACTCCATTCCATCTGAAATTTTCTTAAATTGACAGATATAATTGGGTTTCAGGTGAAAAGAGTGAAAAATCGAGTTCAAATGAATTACTTTGATCACACTCAAAAAATGGAAAATCAAATACCTCACGTGACAAATTAGATCATCAGGTTAAGGGGACATGTGATCTTCAAATACATATGTTGTCTAAAATAGATATGTTTTTAAAGAATGTTTTAAAAATTCAAATATTTCACGCAACAAATTAGATAGTCGGATTAAGGGATATGTGATCTACAAATACATATGTTATCCAAAATAGATATTTTTTAAAGAATGTTTTAGAAATTCAAATATCACGATTTCACTATAAAAAACTTGTTATAAAATCATATTTATGTACATATTGTTTTAACTCTAAAATCTATCATTTACAATTGCCACTTATTTGAATGTTAGAGTGTTTGCAAATATTCTAATATCGGGTTGAAGCGGATGAACACTTGGATCTTTAACGCGATAAAATATGTGAACCTCATTTAGCATTGTTTATTAATGAGTTAACCTTACAAGTTATGACACTCTCATATTTATAGAAGCTCATGCATGGAGAACTCATGTCACCATGCAAGATTCCTCTACACATGCATGGTGTTATATGCTTCAAACTCTTAAACATATAAATGTTTGGTGTAATCTATTACATGTTATACCATGAAATGCTATCTTCTACTACTCTTTCAATACTCACCAACAAGATTAAGGAGGAATGTAAGTCGTGACTTTGAGTTTGGTTCGAAGATCTTGAAAGGTAGATGTGTCAAGCGATTTTGTGAGGATGTCTGTCATTTGCACACTGCTAAGAATATGTTGTATTTTCACCCTCTTAGTTATAACTCTCTCAAGAACAAAGTGGATGTCTAGATCAATATACTTTGTCCTAGCATGAAGAATAAGATTGTGTGACAAGAGCATTGAACTAAGACTATCACGAAGAAAGGTGGGGGAATGGAATGACACGACAAGTTAATTAAGGATAGATTCTACCCAAAGACCTTATGAGGTAGTGTGAGCCAAGACGAGATATTCAACTTCAGCGCTTGATTTAGAAACAAGAGGTTGATTCTTCGAGCTCCATGAAAAAAGGTTTGGACCAAAACATATGTAGAAACTAGAAGTAGATTTAAGATCATCTGGATTATTTGCCGAGTCTGAGTCACTATAGGCCCTTAGAAACAAAATTGTGGTAATGAAGGTGAAGTGAGAAGTAAGCCACGTGTAATGGTGCAATTTAGATAACACAAGATCCTATTATTTGCAAACCAAATAGAATCAGAAGGGGAGGTCATCAATTGGTAGACTTTATTCAAACTAAAGGAAATGTCATGTCTTGTGAGAGTGATATATTTTAGGGCCCCAACCTTTGATTTATATTGATGAGGGTCTTAGAATGTGGAAGAAACATGTTTGCTAAGTTTGCAAGTACTCATTATAGAAGTAGTAACACCATTTTCATTTCAGAACTTGGCTCGTGTGAGTAAATATCAAACGTATTTGTTTTGAGTACCACCAGTGGGGAGATGCTTGACTTCAATGCCTAAAAAAATATGCAAGCTTACCAAGCTTTTTGAGAACAAATGTGGCGTGAAGAGAATCAATGAGTTTGTAAATTAGGATAGATGAGAACCTTATTATAAGGATGTCATTAACATATACCAAAGCATACATGGGGAGGCCTTAATGAGAGTAGATGAATAGAGAGTGACCACATATGCTATGAAAGAAGTTCCTGTCAATTTCACTATAGCGAGCTTTCTTCAACTTGTAAACTTTTTCCTCTTGGTCTTTAGTCACAAAGACTTGAGGTTGTTGCACACCTCTTCCTTTAATTCTTCATTCAAGAAACCTGACTTCACATCAAGTTGGTACAAATTCTAACCTTTTTGAGCTGCTAACGCAATGATTGTTCTCATGGTATCTAAACCTGCAACTATAGCAAAAGTCTCACTATAGTCAATTCCAGGTCGTTGTGCATAGCCTTTGACTACTAATATAGCCTTGACTCTTTGGATTGAACCATCTGGATTATGTTTTAATTTTACACCCACTTTACTCCAATAGCTTCTTTGTCATTTGACTTTTCAACTAGCTTCCATGTTTTGTTCTTCTCAATTGCATTTATTTCTTCTTGCATCACATTTTTCCAAACATCTTCTTTGATTGATTCATCAAAATTTTCTGCTTCCACAACACAATAGTTGCACCTTGCATAAATACCACTCAAGTTCTTCAACTTTATTGGAGTTGAGATGGGAGATGATGAACTTGAAATTGGTGATCTTTGAGAGGATGAAGGACTTGGTGTACATGAGGATGGTGCTCATTTTCATTTGTTAAATTTTGTTGTAATAACATTGCAGGGATTGTTCTCTCCTTCATTTTGTCTTCTTTCCAATTCCAAGAAGCCTTCTCATCAAATACGACATCTCAGCTAATGATCCCCTTGTTTGTCTTCAAGTTGTAAAGTCTATAGCCCTTTGACATGAAACTATAGCCAATAAAGACACATCTTTCACTTGTTTCTTCCAACTTTTTCCTCTTTTGTTTAGGAAATTGAGCATAGAAAACACACCAAATTTTTTTTAAGGTGGTTAACTGAAGGTGTTCTTCCACTCTAAGCTTCAAATGGAGTCTTATTCTATACAACCTTTGTTGGGTATCTATTCATAAAATACACAATAGTGTTAACAACCTCGGGCTAAAAGTTTTTAAGCAAATCTTTCTCAAATAGCCTAGACTTCGCCATCTCAATCACAATTTTGTTGTTTTGTTTCAGATACACCATTTTGCTGAGGTGTATAACCAACAATGAGTTGTTTTTTAACACCTTCATCTTCACAAAATTTGTGAAATTCATTTGAGTTGTTCTCCTTCCTCCTGTCACTTTTCAATATTTTTATAAACCTACTACTTTGTTTCTCAACAAAAGCGCTTCTTAAAAATTACAAAAACTTTAGATTTTTGTCTCATAAAATATACCCATGTTATGCGGGTAAAATCAACAATAAACAAGATAAAGTATCTGTTTTTTCTATGAGACAAAGTACTTATAGGGTCACACACATCTGTGTGTACAAGTTCCAAAACTTGTTTGGCTCTCCATGCTTCTCCCTTTGGAAATGGTTAGCGATAGTGTTTTCCAAGCATACATCCTTCAACACACACATACACACAAGATTATTATTCAATTATTGGCATCCTATACACCATCTTCTTTTGATAAAACAACTTGAGACTATTGTAATTCAAGTGCCCAAGTCTCTTGTGCCACAAACAAGAATCGGTATCTTTTCTAGCCATCATGCTGAATTTTTTCTCATAATTAAGAGAAAGTGGAAAGCTTATAGAACAAAAGTTGTCTAATGCTTAACATGTTTTCATCTAACTTTGGCACATAAAGAGTGTCATGAATGACTTTTCTTTCTTGTTTTGTTGTAACTCGAATGTTGTCTTTTCCTTTTACTTCAACATGTTCTCCATTGCCCAATTTAAATTTTGAGTTAAATGAAGATTCAATATTGATAAACGGTTCTTTCTTTTCGGTCATATGATTGCTACAGGCGTTATCCAAATACCACACATTTTTATCTTCTTGAAATGCTTTTTGACAAGTAAAGAACAAATTACCTTCACTATTTTCTCCTTTTGCAAATGAAGCATGTTGCTGATTTCCAAAACGATAATGTTTTTTAATGTTCTCGAATCTCTTGCAATTGTGACATTGTGGTATACCCTTGTTCCAGCAATCCCTCTCGTCATGAGATGCTTGTGGAAGTTTATTTTGTATTGTTTTGCTGCAACTGCAAAGATTTGCAACTCTGATACCACACTCTTGGTGAAATTCTATAGGTAGTATGTGATGAATTATATTGTTGCAGAATTTAGAGTAACAAAATATTTTTAGGGATGAATATTCTTATACTTCTCTTATTAAAATGCATCCCATACAAAAAAGGTATATAACATTAGTAGTGATGGTTACAACTATCAAAGAGTCACCACTACTAGGTGCTTAATTCATAATTAAACACTCCACTAAGCACTAAATGCTTTCACTATCAACCAACAATGACAATTTACTCATGGAACTCTTCATTTACACTAGATAATTTCCACTATCTTAACATATTCAACTAACATGAAATCAACACACACACACACACACACACACACACACACACACACATATATATATATATATATATATATATATATATATATATATATATATATATATATATATATATATATATATATATATATATATACACACACACACACGCGCACGCACGCGCGCGCGCACACACACACACGAGCGGCGATCAACTTACTTAAAGAGTATTTTTTTTAACTTACTCCAAATCATAACCCTATGATTGAATCCAATCTAATGATTAATTAAGTAAAAGGTTAATTTAACCATT